GTATGCTTGGTTCACCATGGGATGTAAGTTCGGGGTCCGGCCATCTTCTAATGTGTCGTCTCCAGAATCACGGGTCATCGATAGCGTTTTCCTCCACAGTTTTGTCGCCCTTAATGTCGTTTAGCCGGATTTTCAAGCGTTCGACGAACACTGGATCCCACTGACTATATTCAGACAACAATTCCATCTCCCCGGAATGGACCATATTGATCATCATGACATCCAATTCGTCGTCGCCGGAAGATGCCCACGATACGCTCATGATGTGAAGAAAAAAAGTCGAAGTGGATAAATAAAACGAAGAAATAATTCTTACCACGAAAGGAAATTCACGGATCTGAGGTGCTTGGAGTACGGTTGCGAAGCGATTGGATGGCAAGAAAATGAAAAATTTTGGTTGCGGATAGAAAGCGAAAGTAAAGTAAATTTCAGGAGAAGATTTCCTATTTATACTAAACCCTAAGTTTGGTGGTAACCGTTGGGGGAAGGGAGAAATAGGGGCGCGTGGACTAAACGCTCCTAATTCGCGAGTCAACGCGACCTTTGAGAATCGCGCCTCTCAGTAGTGGCTACGTGGCCTATCAAAAATAACCGTTGCCCCTATCAGTGAACGTTGCAATTAATTGTAATAAATTGCACTGTTTCAACTTTTAGCTCCATTTTTGATTAGTGTGAAGACATCGGAAGGACGACTACAAAAACCGACATGTCCTACTTGCTTGAAATTAATTGTTTCCTAGTGAATTTTCAGCATCACTGCCCGTCTTTTTTCAAGACAACCATTAATGCTGGGGGCCACCTTGTTGACATCGTTCTCATTAAACCGAGTTAAGCAACACTGATCAGGTGATTATGCTCAGTAGGAGGAAGATTATGTTCGTACAAGTGGAAGACATCTTCAAGGGACCCAAAACAATCACGTATCGGGTGAAAATTGATCAAGAACCGACATCCTCATCAACTGACCGATATCTTATATCGGTTATGACATGTCGGTTACAACATGTCGGATATGACATATCGGTTATAACTACACGAGCCGATATCTATGACTTTCCAAACCGACATCATAAGGCGGTGCCAACTCAGCACAACTCATTATTACATCTGGCCAAGTGGCATGCTACCATGATGGATGGCAATTAGCCGCCGTTGACTATCCTCATATAATAATTATGTTGCTGATAAGTATTGTAAGTTAATATAAGAGGAAAAAATAGATTCTAAAAAATGAGACACGAGAAATATACAATAATATTCAACAAATTTTGTTTCGTTCAGGCTTTCGTATGTTCTTTGTTAATCTATCTTGAATACACGACGAACTTTTCATTATCATATAGTTGTTAATCACCATATAACAACAAATATGTTGAATAATAGGATGAATATGTTAGATAATACTCAGATGAACATGTTTCATTATGAGATGAATATGTTACAAAATAAGATGTATATGTTAGATAATACTCAGATGAAGATGAATATGTTGGATAATACTCAGATAAAAAAATTTTACCATTATAAGATGCATATGTTGCCAAATCTATTAAACATGTTAAAAAATAAGATGAACATGTTACATAATAAGATGAATATGTTATATAATAAGATGAATATGTTAGATAACAAAATGAACATGTTACATACTCAGATGAACATGTTGCATTATGTGATGAATATGTTGCGTAATACATTGAAAATGTTACATAATAAGATGAATATGTTGAATAATAGGATGAATATGTTAGGTAATACTCAGATGAACATGTTTCATTATGAGATGAATATGATACAAAATAAGATGTATATGTTAGATAATACTCAGATGAAGATGAATATGTTGGATAATACTCAGATAAAATTTTTTTACTATTATGAGATGAATATGTTGTCAAATCCATTAAACATGTTAAAAAATAAGATGAACATGTTACATAATAAGATGAATATGTTATATAATAAGATGAATATGTTAGATAACAAAATGAACATGTTACATACTCAGATGAACATGTTGCATTATGTGATGAATATGTTGCGTAATACATTGAAAATATTACATAATAAGATGAATATGTTGAATAATAGGATGAATATGTTAGATAATACTCAAATGAACATGTTTCATTATGAGATGAATATGTTACAAAATAAGATGTATATGTTAGATAACAAGATGAACATGTTACATACTCAGATGAACATGTTGCATTATGTGATGAATATGTTGCGTAATATATTGAAAATGTTACATAATAAGATGAATATGTTGGATAATAGGATGAATATGTTAGATAATACTCAGATGAACATGTTTCATTATGAGATGAATATTTTACATAATAATATGAATATATTACATCCATTACGCTAAAACAGATCAAGGAACAATTACCTTTTTTAGCTAAGTTAAAGTTGAGTGCGGGGATTTGGTGTTCGAGGTGGAATTTTGAAAAATGTATAATGATTTAGATTGATGCGGAGGTTAATGAATATGTTAGATAATAAGATGAACATGTTACATACGAAGATGAACATGTTGCATTATGAACCTGTAGATGAATATGTTACATAATACATAATTCAATATAATAAGATGAGTAAGTTATATAATACATTAATATAATATAACAATATATATATATTAAGCTGAACATTTTAATACTAAGATGAACATGGTAGATATGATGAACATGTTAAATATGTTGCATAATCCATTGAACATGTTAAAAATTAATATGAACATGTTAAATTATGTGAAAAACAAGTTAGATTATAAGAATAACATGTTACATAATAAGATTAATATGTTATATAATAAGAGGTAGTGTTCTTGTTGCTTCATTTGCTGGTTATTTTTTTTTTTCTCTCAACATTCAAACCAAAAAATATATTAAGCTCACAAAGATTGTTTGTTTTACATCAACGACACATAAATAGATCTAGGTCTGCAAAGGCAAGAAAAAAAAAAAAAAAAAAAAAAAAAAAAAAAACAGCCATACACCTTTACAATTGACATGTGAAACAAGTTTATAAATTTCCTTGCATAGCCATCTTGGCTAAACAAGCAAAAATTATACAAATATCCTTATCAAAAATAACACTACAAGAATGAACAGACGAGCACAAATACTTGCATTCAACCACAGCTGCAGCTCTCATATCCCATGATTCCAAATTCCCACAGCACCAGATGACAGCTTACCTTTTTGTCCATTTGGCAGGTCACATTTTTTTCCATTTATTATTGGCTGCATATTTGAGTACCCAAAGAGCACACACAGTATAGGCCTCCACTGAACTTCCAATGAAGTCCCATACCTGAAAGTCCAACTCCTCAAACCTAACCTACTGTGTTTGCATGAACCCCTTTCATTATCATCACTCTTCTCACCTGACCTCTCACTCATCCCAGCCGCCTAACATATAGCCTTGGTACTTCAACATTTCTCACATAAGTAAACATAATCCACTCATCCATAGCCCTTTTAAATAATTCTGTTTCCAGCACTTAACAGCCCTAAACTGAAGTAAGATATGATCAATATTTTCCTCACACTCCCAAAAGATCTCACATACTATATCAAATTCAATTCGTCTCTTTTTCAGTTGTACCCTAGTCCCCACAAACTCATGGCAACATTTCCAGACTGAGGCATTACATCAAACACGTAATGTGCTTTTAAGAATACAACAAAACCAACATATCACTAATCAATCGCTAGTTAACAAATTGACATCCTCACATCAAATCATTATTCGTAACAATCAAATACAATAAAAGGATACGAAGCCCAAGCAAAAAATTTCACCAAAACAACCTATGTTAATAACACCACTACAAGGGTTTTGTATTATAAGCATGCCAAGAATATCCAAACATATTTCACTCTCCAAATAAAGTTACCTCAATGAATCGTGTGTGCGATTGCAATCTCTACATACAAAATTCTATCGACAAGTTACATATTGATCGTAAATCGTTCGAATATATGTTTGGGTAATAATACTGTTCTGATATTGACTCATGAGGAGAGGATGAAGGAGTTGGTCGGTTTGGTATGTAGAAGAACAATGAGGAAGAAGATGAAGTGGAAGATTGGTTTTGTCCATTTTCTTTTCCCAAATGAAGAAGACGGATTGGAATCTTAAAATATAATTTTAGGTTGTGATGAAATTGTTTTAAATTTGTAGGATTGTTATGTAATTTACAAAAGTATGTGGGGGCTTGAGAATAAATAAAATAGGTACAAGGGGTACGAAGGGTATAATAGGATTTTACAAGTACGAGGGGTACGAGACAGAGTACAAGAGTACCAAAATTCTTTTTTGCCTTGTACCCTTCAATCCATCGTTCATTGTCATATCTTAGTCAATCCAACGGTAAAATAGGGGGTTACCTGATGTTAGATAGGTACAACCATGACCTGACTGTAGAAAATCCCATGAAACTGACTACATTGAAGTTACAGATACGAAAATGCATACCATTTGGTGCATTTGTTGTAGTTATTTGGGTTTGAAACTTTGAATTCCACAACCATGCAAATCACCATGGGTTGTATTTTATCCAAGAGAATACTACAAATGAATGGAAAACACAACACAACAGAATACAAGAAACTTTTGTGCAATTTTTAAATGTGATAAAACGTTAACACAACAAGAAAAGGCGAGAAAAAAGGTGTAAAATTTGGAGGAAAAATAAATGAAATTGAGATAGGTAAAAGAAAAACGAGGGTAGCTAGCGTACGTAATTTTATTCTAGTATAATAGTTGGTACATTAAAGAGGGTGTGTTCAACAAGACTCAGAGTACCCAAAGCAAACTGGAAAAAAAAGAAAAAAACAAATGGAGTGAAGAAAAAGGCCACTCAAACACAAGGTATTGGAAGTATAAACTGGATTAAAAATAATACTTATAAATTATAATGTTGTCAAACAAGCCAATTACACTTGAGAAAGACACCAAGTCCATCATCATTGATCTTCCTTCAACTATGACATGTTTCTGGGCCGACGGGGCTCGATATATTTGTCAAGCAGTCCTCTCCGCCTGCCAACCACCACCCTACCATTATTCATATCAGACTCTGCTTTACTCGTCAAACGCCTACCTCCTTCACTATTATGTTGCTTCCTCTCTTTGGACAGTATCTCAATCTCTTGCAGGTCCGCTTCAGGTACATATCTGCTCGGCCGTTTCGACTCTCCCATCCTCCTAAATGTAATAGATATCCTACGGAAAAAAAAAAAAATAAATAAATAAATAAAAAACACACAGGAATCAAAATTAATTTTGCTTTGACAACCAGTAGTAGTAATAATAATAATCCAACATTCATTTTTATAGTTGTACCTTCTGGCAGGGACTGCAGGCACACAATGTTTCGCCACATCAGCTCCGTTGCCATTTATGACGAGAACAGAACTGTTTGGAAATTAAAAACATGGGGAAATCAATTTTCTTGAATGCAAATGGATTTGGATGTTGTTAACTTCTTTTACGCTGTAAATTAACTATTAACGTACCCAACTGGAAGAGGGATCGCATATGAACCGGAAAACTCGCCGGGACCAACAATCTTGAGGTTCGACCCGAAGAGTATCTCACACTCGCTGAGAAACGAGACGGTGCAGAAGGGCCTCACGAAATCATGATTATCGATATGAGGGGGTATGCAGTCCCCCTCCTCGTAGATGTTCACGATACAGCTATCGGGCACACAGGATGAGGGCAAAACGTGCCACCTGATCAGCCTCTTAATCATCACCTTGAATAGATGGGGTAAGGGATCAACCATTTCATTCCTCAGGATACCTGGCGGATTACCATTTTTATCCTGCCATCAACAATTATTACAAACACACCGCTGTTTAAATCCTCCGTTTCTCTAACATGTTAGCAGCTGGACAGTGAAATATATATTGTTGTAATGTTTCAAAAATACAACATTTAAAGGACTTACTGTGGCATAGTTGTAACAACAGCCAAATTGAAGAGTTATGCGTCCCTTTCCCCTCATCCACTTCGCGGGTGCAGAATATGTACGATCTGAATCGAAGTTCCAGGAAAGAATTTTAGTTTATGACAATGATTTGGTAAAATAATAGTTTGGATTAGCTTTTTATTCAATAAAGAAAGATACTGCCCGTTCTTACTGAGTAGTGATGTTCAGGAAGAGACCAAGAAACTCATTACTAATTCAACACATGTTCATCTTTGCTTAGACAATTAGGAAGGAAATATTTTCATAGACGAATTAGAACATGAAACTACTGTTCCCATGGATTCAGTGAAAATTGAATACCAACGGAGCATTTTTGCATAAACCCTTGGTCATATGCATGGTTACTATTCAGGACACCTTTTTTATTTTCCTAACCATTCATAAATGCAGAATCATATTTCTTATGAAAAAATTCAAATTGACCTATTACTGTATCCATTTTCACACAAAATACATCTCAAACCTGTGTAGTTAAACTTTCAAACTATAAATAACCTAATGTCACTTTCTCCATCGTTATAACATGGATGCATCCAAAACAAGCTAGTGAGATCCTACCACACCCCCTAAACCTACTTAAATGTTTGACAATTAGCGGATAGCTGATAGTTTATTCAATTAGCTAGTTGGCTAATTGCATTAGCAGTTTATCAATGACTAATAAAGATAATGTTACAAGTTATCGAACTTTTTATATTTTCCATGTGATGACTTAAAAAAATGCAAAATAAAATTGCATAACACAAAAATAGTTATTTTAAATGGATGTTATATAAAACAATTCTTATTATAAAATAATTTAGCATCATTTAAGTTTATGAGTTACTATCTAGGGTGAGAATTGGAATCGAATAGATTTCATCAGAAACGAACAACGAGAAATATATCATACATTTAGGAACATAAGGTATAAATGAAAAAAACAAGAATAAAAAATCTTCTACAATTTATAAATTCCCAAACACCAAAACAAAATTTCTGCAACTATGGTGCAATAAATAAAGAGATAAAAGAGCAATCAATTAAATTAAGTGAAACAAAGTAACGATCGGGAGAAGAAATAAATAAATAACGAAAAATGGAAGAGAAATAAATAAATATACATGTTGATTATTATTTTTACATTTTATATTTATAAAAAAAAAAGTTTCAATCATCTTTTCTCAAAATCCTCTCTTCTAAAAGACTTGTTTGTTGTTTGCCAAAAAAAAAAAAACCTATAGTATTTTTAGATTATATCAATCAAGTAGGACTCATCAGTTAGAAAGCTTACAAATATAATTCCAAAAACAAAGTTAATAACTTATGAATAGACCTAACATTTTCAATTTTCCACTTATTGCATACATTATGAACTTTTGAGAATACGCACCCAACAAACGATGAATTACTTCATCACTTAAATTCACATCAAAATTCTCTTAACCAAATACATTCGCACAAGTTGAAACTTAAAGAAAAAATCGTTTATATTCTTTAAACACACCATGTTCTCAATTCCATTTTTAAATGCTGAAAACTAAAAATTAGACCACGAAAACACACCATATGATGAACTTCCTTTCTTTCTTTCCTTATATTGTCTGAATTGCTTTTCCCGGGGTTGGGGATGTAAGGGGCACATATAAGACAACGTATATGTCCAAATGAGAGGTCAAATGCAATGGTACAGATATAATACAACATCATTACATGATAGGCAAATTAATCAGCCAGATCTAGACTTTGCATACAACAGATCTAGCTCCAAAATGTAAGTGAAGCAACAATATTTACATGTTTTCCTGATTAATCTAATCATTCTCCCTTATATTTATTTTCTCCATTGTTGTCCTCTTCAGTCACATGACAACACATCCTAATCTTCTAAGAACAAACAGGTTTTAAAAAACTTCAGTACTCGTCTAAAATATTAAACACTCCTAGCATTAGTCATATTCTTTTAGTGGGAAAATATGAGCCGACACCAAGTGAGTAATAAAAGTAGTTGTCCAATCACCAAAGGACTATTTCATATAACAATATCAACAAAGATAAAACAATAAATCTAGCGACTGCAACAGCATATCATCAGCAGCCATCTAGTCTGCCAATGTGGTATGCCGAGTATTTGCATATGGTTGTGTGCATGCAATTATAATCCAACAAGATTTTTAATTTTAATTCCAAGACAAGTAAATCCAAATGTCCAATTTTATCTATAACCACACAACATTCAAACCAGTGACCATATTTTTCAAATGGAAACAAATAATTATTTTTCCTATCAGAATAGGATTATGTGAATAGTAAAGATATTACAAACACAAAATGGCATCCTCTAAGACTATTAAAATGGAATAGCTTTCAATAGTATAAGTACATATAAATAGATTAAAGTGCATTGTAAAACATCAGAAAATTATATGAAAAGCCAGGAAATGTTAAAATGAGACTGGCAAGTAAAACTATAATCGAAGCTATAAATTAGTAGAGTACTGATAGTTGATGGGTTTTCTTTTCCCTTTCTTCTTCTGGAGCAATTGCATTAAAATAACGATCTGAAATTAAAGATAACCTATATCAAACAACATACTAGCTCTAGTTGAGTATGCAAACTATAGTCTTTATGAAGTTCTAAAATTATAGTACTAGTATGAATTACACAAACAATCCAAAGTAAAATTAAATTTGAATACATACACAAATTTTATTCAAAATTTCCCAACCAAGTTTACTTCCAATTCGAACGAGGATTTTCAAATAAATCTAAACAGGAATCCCAATTTATTAGTTGATTAAAGTTCATAAGTTCCAGCTCAACTTGTCACTATGTTTTTTGCAATAATTATAAATCCAGCTAGTGATCAAGAGGTGAATGGGAATTAAACTAAGGGAAAATCAAGGAATGCCCAAGTACAACATATCTATAGCACATTGTTATTAACAGGTAAATGGCGGTTTGCCAAAAATCCGCCATAGCGGCCTATGACGCTGCCATAACTGCCATCCTTCACAAATTTAGCATGGAGGATTTTCAAAATCTGCCACACCATATTGCCATGGCCGGCATTTGATAACACTGCTTTAGCATCTCTACTAACTCTGAAACATGGAGTACTGCACAAATATGACGTTAACAAGGCACCAATTTCCAATCAAAAGCTACCAACATGGCAATGTCACATAAAATTGCATCAAGGAAGACGTAACTAGAGCTCCTATTGAAAAATTTTAACCTTTCTACCCTGTCACACAAGAACTATATATTCTAGGTTTAATCCAAATACTCATTTTCAGTTGATAAATATGCCCATGATAATTTCATACCATGCATTATATATCGATGCTTTTTACTCAGAAATCTAGTCATAAACATCCATGTCGACTAATCAGGCAATAACAAAAAACCTGTGCAAAGCATATAGTTATCCATGACAGAAAAGCAGAATAATGAAAAGTGGAAATAGAGAGGAATGAAAATTGAAGGTCAGAAAATGCAAAGAATCAAAACTCACCTTTCAACTGCCCTTTCCTTCCCATCTCTTGTAGCTGTTCCACATAATCCACAATTCTCTTCTGTTCTGCAGCACTAAAAACACCTTTATGCAGCTCCAGCCCATCAAGTATATTTGTAAATTTCCCATTGACTCTTTCAAAACATATGAAATCCTTCTTTCTCTGGACGCTGTTAAAGCGGATGTATTCTCTCTGATCCCTCGACAACGCCACTTTTACCTTATTCGCTTCATTCACAGATGTTCCCTCCGCAGAGGGATCATTCACATCAATAAGTCTACTGCTCACTTCATTTTCATCCTCTACAGCAAGTTCGTCTTCCAAAGCCATATCGGCCCAAGACTTCTTCCGAAGTGAGCTTGCAGATGGTGCTGAAAGGCTGAATGTTTCGCTCGTTGGTGATGCTTCAACAGATTTTTCTGGGATCCCATCAGCCTCATCTTTCCAACTTCCCAATGAATGAGTGTCCGTACAGTCATTATTATCCTCACCTTCGTTCCTGCTCCCAGTCGAATGGGCACTACAGTAACCTTGATCTTCTTTGCATCCGTTCAGATGAATAGTGTTCGCAGTAGAAGCATCAAACCCACCTTCCACAATTCAGAGATGGAGACCTTGATTAAGTTATAGTTAAGATACCAATGCTTCAAAGGAGCAAAATTAGACAAAGAGTTCATCATTTGATTGTCTAAGTTCTATAATTCTTGGTAAAGCAGAGAACTGTGCCAAAACTTCAGAAATTAAAAAAAGAGAGAAAAGTAAAGTGATAATGATAATTAAATCCACTAGAAAGTTTTTTGTTTTCGGCAAAAACTATTGAAGAAAGGCTACTCGGTGCCCTAATGAACCCTAATGGGGAATTTGCATTTATGGCACGAAAGGCTAAAAATCTTCGTTGATTGAATTAGGGTTCCTCAAGCGAAACTGACTAAAACTATGAATAAGTTCACATCTCCACAAACGTACAACCGTAAACTCAACCTCACATACTTGCACTGTACACTAATTATATACGAGGGTCACTCCCGTAGTCTGAAAACCCCAAAAATTCAAAAGGAAATGAGCGAATGACATGTAAAAAAGCGAGATTTAGCTGCACACCTGTGTTGAGGGATCGGATGCCATCGGAGAGAGTTCGGGTGCAGGATTTGCAGAGACCGCGGGACAGAAAAGGCAGCCAATTGGACAAAAACTCGGCGGCGATCCGAACTTCGGCGTCATCGTAATTGAGGAGGAAAGGGTCCTCTGTCTTTCGAGGTTTTCTGTGGTCACCCATGCCGGAGGATGCGGCGATAATCGGCTATAATGGGCGAGAGAGATAGAAAAAGGGTTTGTGGCGTGAGACTTGTTGATGAAAAAGACTACGATGTTATGAATTTATGATGTCGTTTGGTGCCTTCCGATTTGGTTCTACGGTGAATTAAAGACATCCTCAATCTATAAGGAAAACAATATTCCTAATTTTTGACCCACTATTATTCCACTTTTCTTATTTTTATTCTTTTAATGTTATTTTTAAGTGTCCTATTTCAAATATAATAATAACTGTAAATTGAGAAGATCTGATTAAGAGTAAACTAGTTATTTTCACAGATTTGTCAGTTTAAGTCTAAAAAATAATAATGTTATTATCTATTTTCTACCTCGTTTAATCAACGTTAAGTCTAAAAAATTATTAAGCCGCCCTCTGGCAAATATGTATGGAGTTATGTGTTCGTGTCTCATAAGTCACAAACATTATGAATAACATTACAAATTATTCATTCAAACTTTTATTCATTGCAAATATATTAAAATAGTTTATATAACAACCATTAAATACCGCTTTCAATATATTTGTAAATAAAAAGTACATAAAATTTCTGGTGTGTTCAAATTTAAATATTTTTTTATGGGCTCAATTTTAAATGATCCAGACATTTGGTCAAACGCATAGGTGTGTTTAAATTTAAATTATTGGCATTTTGGTGGTTGAAATTTAAATCATCTACAATGGTACTGTGATGTGTATTATATATATACAATTTTTTAACAAATAATATGTGCTTTATAAAAATAATAATAATAATAATTTCACAAGATTTTAGACGTAAATTTGGTTTTTAATCACAATAGAAAAATCATGGTAAGTTGTATTGAAAATGTGTTATGAGATAAAACAGTTAACTAAAATAATTAAATAAAATACATGATGGAAATAGAATACATTAATTACTTTTGACTTTTCTTACTACTAATTCTAATAAATAGAATGCCTTTTTATATAAGTTAGATGTGCATGTAAGATTTTTTAAACATTTTGTAAAGAAAACATGTCTAAAAATAATTAAATTTAACAAGTGTTACGTATATGTGAGTATATATATGTACATATAGATAGAATATGTAAAACAATATGTTTGAACATTTTATTTAAGTATCTAAAATATTGTAAGCCTAAATAAAGACATTATCTCACGCTAAAGTTGTTTTAGAGAAGATTTATAAGATACCATAATTATGATGTTACTTCCATATGAAGATTTGACTACACAATATTTCAAAAATTACTATATTTTTTTTAAGTTGTTACCATAAAAAAGAAATTTGTACGCTTAACAATTTATCAATTTTACAAATACAAATTGAAATTAATGCAAAAGCTATCAATTTTACAAATACAAATCGAGATTAATGCACACCAAAAATTATGTGAAAAATAAAAAAAATTATATGTAATTGAGATCAAAGAAGAACACTGAAAATTGTTTCTATTAACATTTACAATGTGTATTTATTGTTTTTTTTTGGCAAAATATTCTTTCTAAGTGTGATATATAAATATTAAAAATACTTAGAATATTTTATAACATCTATAAAAGCATCTAAAATATCTTCCCTATATATAATTCTCAAATGCGCTGAGCCTACGTGGCTGCTTCTGGTGCTTCGGAATCCTATTTGGCGAAGAATCATGCTTTGTAATTAGGTTTGGACAAATAATATTAATATATTAATAATTAATAATCTAGGTTCGGGTATTCCATAAATATTATTTAGCTAACTTAGGTATTTTAATATCACTTTTACTAATATAACCCTTTAATTATTTGTAATTTTATATAGTGAAGCACTAAGTGACTAATATATCCCTAAATTTTGATTTGCTTCCTTCAATAAGCTATTGAATTATAAATGTATTTTAAAAGTAGATAACTTTTGTATTTCTTATCGGTTTTACATATATAATATATCAAATTAATCATCTTTTGATGATCTTCGATTTGACATCCATATTGTATATATAAAATAAATAAATTATATTTATCTTTATAATAATAAAAATAATAATATTTATTAAAATTCATTAGAAAAATAAAATTATTTCTCAATTGATATATTTATATTTAATTTAATGTAGTTATATAGTGTAAGTTAAAAAATTAGTATAATATAACATAAGTAAGTCGCACAAATAAAATGTATCATAATAAATATATAATATATATATTCTTATAAAAGGTATTTAAATTTTCAAACTATTTTTTCTCATTAATTTTAAATTTTAAGAAAACAATTAGCAAGCACCCGTGTAATACACAGGTGTTGTACTAGTTCTATATTATTCACAAATAATGTTTAAAGCTACCTAAATTTTTCTAAACTACCCGTAAGAAAAACATGTCTAAAAATTCTTCATTTAACCTCCATATATGTATATATAGTGAGAGAAAATGTGTAAAAAAATTATACAAATAATATTTAAAAGTATTTAAAATATTAGTATTAGGCAGGTGAAATTTAGATTTTTAAAAAAATCTAAATAGATAATGGATCTATAGTAGTAATTAGACTTTTATTTATTTATCTTTAAAGTTGTTACGATAGATGAGGAATATGATTTTTTTGACTCGTGGAGATGGAATTTTGTAAGCTGGGTTATGAAATTTTCTTAAACTCGTTCATATTTATGCAATGAGTTTTTTGAGCTGGGTATATAGATTTAAAAAAAAAAATCATAAATCATTTGATTTGGTATTTTCGGAGAGCTTCATTAATTTAAAAGTGTAAAATAAATAAATAAAAAAAGTACAACTGAAAAAGTTACAACCAATTGTATGGAGAATTAAACTAAATCCTTTTTTGTTGGATGCATTAAATATTGATTAGATTTTATATGTAAAATAAAATAAAAAATAACTGGAACAATTTTACGTGTTGCAATATTTTATATTTAAAAAAAAATAAAAAATCTTGTTTTACGTGCTGCATACCAACATTTTAGGAACTACATGGATATTCCTAAATTAATATTGCATATCCAATATTTTAGGAACTAATTAAATGCTAATTTGATTTGCATACCCAAAATATTAGATGCATTAATTAAATACATGATAAAATTAGAAACTCATTAATTAAGTTTGACTTTTCTAACTCCTATATTTAGTAAATAGGATCCCCTATAGATGTGCGGTTCCTTCCTTATCTTTCTTGTTTTTAATTTTCACGACTATGTATATATGTCTTCTTCTTTCACTTGTTCTTCTTCTACCTTTTTCTCCCATTGTTTTACTTTTTTTTTCTCTTTGTGCGATTATCAAACACACAAGAGGATTCAATTTGAGTCTTAACAGTAGGACACAAGCCCTAGAACGACCAGAATTTTCTTTTATACTTACGACCTCGAAAAACAAAAGTGCACGATCTATCTCAGTGGTGGTAACCAAGTCAAGTACATCAAGGATCTGCCCTCCCATGTTTTGCATTGGAAATCCCATTTTTTGTAAAACCTCTCTTAGGTACGTTCAACTTCAGATCGAAGTGGCTTGAGGAGGTCCCTGGTAAAAAACTAAAGCAAAAAAATATTACCCCATTTAACGATCTGATTGACGAGTGGAATAAGGTTCTATACAACGTAATGAAGCACACGTCGGGTGTAGAGCTTCATTCGTGCTATGGACTGACCTCTAAACAGGTAACACCCTTTCATTTAGGTACACAAACTAAGCACCCCTTTTTGTTGTTTATGACCTATTTATACTTGTGTTTATATTGTTATTTATTTCCCGTACAAGTTCATTTTTGGAGTTCTTTCCACTACCCCAACCCAAAGGCAGGAGAAAAAGGCTCCCATTACTCACCCAACCTATATGTCGTCGATCGTCTGACCAGCACTCCTCTTGCGGCTCCACAAAAGTTCACCAACGAGTTTTTACAGAAGATTATATTAGACTCTAGAAAAAGAAATATTCCACAGGTTGGTAATTCCTCTAATTAGAAAAAAGCTGCCTCCCAACCGCTCTACAGCTCTATCTAGCAACCGCCGAGTTTGCAACCTGCAACGATCTTGGGGTTCACGCGTCCTACCTTTTGTCAATCTTCCACAATGGGGAGACATATCGCTGGGACGGTGATAAAAAATGAGGGCTAAGTAAAATTTGCTTCATGTTGTCGAGGTATTTAACATTATTTCCTTTCAATACTGGTCAAGCTTCTTGCACAGTGCGATATAAATCCTGGATTTTTTTTATGTATTTAGCTCATGTCCGGTCTTGCTCCTATTCTCCACGAGGCCGTTGAAGGAGAACCTTCTTCTACCTGTGAGCATCATCGGTTGAGAAAAGAGCTGCAGGCCGAGACTGCCAAGGCCAAAAACTCAAATGCGAGCTTGAGATAGCTCGGGCGTCCATGGATCATGTCGAATAGCTCAAAGTTAAGCTGGCCCGGATATCTGCAGCCTACAAATACCTGGAAGCCCTTCAAGACTCCCAAGTTGCGCTCCTCCAAAGGAAAACAAAACGCACGAGGCTGAGGTTGAGGACGAAAAGATTAAAGAGCAGGTTGTTGCTCGAGAAGAGGTAGCTCGTCAAGAGACCAGAGGCGACTTCCGCTTCTCCACTTCTGGACTTGATTCCTTGATGCCTACCGAGACGAGTTGTTGGATCTCTACAAATATTCCATGCCCTTTCTCCAGCTGCGTGTCTTTCAGCCACACAATATTTGAAGCTCGGTGCCGAGAGGACTTACGAGCAGACCAGGGTTGGCGGGTATGTAGAGGATTTTGATTAGGTGGCTCTATCCCAAACTCCGATGGTTGGTCAGGCAACCCTGAGCCCCCTCTCGACCATCCTTGGTGGGAGCCTGTGTTGGAGACTATCTTTTAGGAGCTCGATTTAGGTTCTCATGTTGATTCTTATGCTGACGACCAGGTCGGAGAAAACCCCACGGAATAGATTGTTTTCCTAGAGCATGCAGAATGATTTAAACACCTTTTGGCATTTTAATCCTTATGTT